AATGCTTAAAAAATCTACTTTGTCATTATACTGAAAAAAGTATATCAGTAAAAAAAAATCAGAAGATTTTAAGTCCATAGGTTACCTTTGTGCGTGATCGATCGTATTGTGCTTAGATTTCTTTTTTATGACAGACAAACGAAAAGTTATATTTTTCCTCATTTTTAATCAAACAAACGAAAAACGACAAAATTTAACTACTTGTTAGATTAGCTAGGTAAAGCTTCAGAATCCCATTCTTCAGGTACACCGTGGGATTTCAGCGGGTAGGACCACGAGGTATCCTGAGCGTTGGTAAGTGTGAAGATTTTTTCTTGCACTTAAGTCTCTTGTTCGGCTTTAATACAAAAGGTGGAATTTATTTTATTTTTCAGTTTTAGATTCTCTTTTAATCGGTAAAAATAGGATACAGGATAAAGGGAACAGGTAATTCTATTATACATATTATGCGGTCGGTCAGAACAAAATAATTTCAAAGAGACCTAAGACCAAAACGATTTGCATAAAAAGTAGAATAATGACGTATCTTAATTTTTTTATGGTTGTATAAAATCTTAAACGCACCTCCGTACGCGTGTCTTTAACCTGCACTCATTTAACCTTTGTTCCCATTATCATTTGTTGACGTAAGATGAACAGTAATGTAAAGACAAAAAAATTATAAATTTTTATATGAGAAAATTTTACGTCGCGCCGGAGCGATTTTTTTAAGCGTACATAGATAAGTCTCGAGTGCGTCCTAGCTCACTTTTTACTGTGAAGCACTTAATTATGATCACGCGCACGAAGCCGCGGTTAACAGCTAGTTTAAAAACATGGCTATCAGTTTACCGTTGCTGGACCGACAGTGAAAGCGGGCGTATGTTGAGAGAACTAGACGCTTTCACTCGACACATAAGAGTTGAAGAACACGCGTTTTATTTTATATGTGAAATAAAACAGAGCAAACCATGCATATCAACTTATGCAATCTAAAATGTCAACACTATTATTTATAAACTGTGTATTGTAATATTTAAATGCTTCAACTGGAATTGAAAATATTAGAAAAATATAATATAGGTACTATTGTGTATAAGAAATATTTTTACTAGTTTTTGTGTAATTTAATTATTATTGAAGGGTGACATTAGATATGACAGACTTGTTATATATAATATTTCAGCTAATAATATTTGAAATAATGTGGGCTTGTTAATAAGCAATAACTGAGTTGTTATCCTAAAATTATTTTATTAATTACTGAATACAAAATATATTGGTGATGTATGAGGCTGCATTTTACTATTTTATAGGACTATTTGATAGTTATTTTAAATAGGTTTAACTATATTTTGTATAATCAGGAAAAATTTTCACATAACAACATTGAAGATTATAAAATCTTTGTTTCATACAACTTTCATTATGTCATACAACTAACATTAAAAAGAGGAAAGATTTGATGTTTGTATATTCAACTCTCTGTAAGTACTGGTCTGATTTTACTAATTCTTTTATGGATCAAATCCATTATGAGTTTGACATAGGGGAAATAACAGAAAAACAAATACTAAAATATAGTTGGCTTCTTATGTTTTAGTGAAAAAAAAAACAGAGCTTTTTAGAGACTAATTTTTCAAGATTAAGAATATAATGTGTTACTTTTTATGGCTAAATTGAAAATTTTATCATAGTAAATGTAATATTTATATATTCAGTGACAATTAGGATGCTGAACAAGGATATTTTATACTTTTCAAGGTGTTTCACTACTGTATTTACAAATATCAATTAAGTACAGTTCATATTAGCACTATTTTGAGATCAAAATTTATATAATTTAAGGGATAGGTTTAGGGGTTATTAAAAGAATTCATCAATGATATTATGTAGCTAAAATTCACACAGCAAGAGAAAGTATTTTCTTTAAAATAAATAATAGGAATTAAACATGTTTTCCCCAACATCTTTACATTTGTGTAATATTATGTGTCTTCCATATGGAGAAATTAAAATTTATTTAGAATATGTCAAAAACAGGCCTCAAATACTGTTCATAAATTACTGAGTAAGTTAAGAGCAGATGAAGAAATGAAGATAAGAAAAACCGTAAAGATAAGCGGTAAATCTGTTATAACATAACCATAAAAAGTTGTATACAAATCTTGAAAGAATTAAGAAAGAAAACTCAAAGATCGATAGCTATACCTATAAGTTTAAGAATTCAAGACGTGCCCATTTATCTAGAACAATAACAAATCAATAAATCTGCCAGTGTGGAAATTAGAAAATAATCAACTTAAATTTATTAAAAGAACTTTTGCGACCCAATAAAAGCGCTTTCTTTCTTAGTAGTAAACAAATCTATTTAGATTAGAGTCATAACATAATTTAAATGCATATAAATAATGAGATGGCGTCAGATTTATAACTTACCGAATGTTTACGAAATATAGAAATCAGCTTAACTAAATTCTATGTTTTATTAAGACGATCAAAATATTTGCAAAGCTTAATTTATGATTATTAACCATCAATTAATTCCTTTTCTTTCCCAAAAATAAGTTCTCAATACATTCACTCACTACTTTAGGTAAGAATCAGATGACATCTGGTAATGAACTGACACTGGTAGTGTTTGGTAGTGTTGTACTGTTGTGTTCACAGAATAGGTAGTGTACAGTGTCTGGCACAAAGGTGTATCCATAAGGCATCAACTGCGCAACTATTATCCTGGTTTAAAATTAAAAACTTAAAACACTTGCTCTGTAGTGACCATTCTTTTATAAAAAACTTTTATTAAACCAAGGCATACGTACTTACCTATTTAGAACGTCAATTTCCGATTAAAAAGTGTATAATAAAATGTCTCTCTTAATTCATCGTTATTCACCTGTGTGGGTGGTCTTCATCGTGGCTCGTTCTTCACGTCGAAGTTTCTATCATGAAAGCGTTTAAACCAAAATCGCGTGGTGCGTTCATTAGCACATCCCTCTCCAAACGCAACATTAATATTGCGGGCTGTTTCTGCCGCGTTATTTCCGCGTCAGAACTCGTATTCAAAAATCCCTCGAATTTTCGCAGTATCCATCTTTTTTGTCTAAGTTAAAAATTGAAAACAATTGAAAGTCGATATTTAATTGTTTCACATTTTTTAAAAGAAAAACATCATAGAAACCACGTGAAAAAAGTTTCTTTTGAAAACTTCAATCCATCTAACAATATAAACTTATACCGCGATGCATTAAATGAACAGCGCCATCTAGTTTACAGACTTAGAACTATTCGAGCACCTATGAAGATGTTGGGTGTATTACAAAAATGTATCTTTGTCATAACAATATTCAAACAATATTATCGCAAACTTGCAACTTCATATTTAACATAACAATATTGCAGCGACATTGTCACAAATTTCCCTCGAATATTTGACGCAGAAATTTAGAATCAAAGAAAAATTAAACTTGCCCCAAGTTAGCATGCTATCTGGGAAGTGTACCGATCAGATTTTTATACGGTAGGTTTTCCCCCCCTTTCATGCTGTTCTTCATGAGGTAGATACCAGGTTCTATTGGCGTCTTTGAGGCTTTGCATTCAGCCATGCTAAATATTTCGATTGTTTTCTAAATATCTATATGCCTCTTGGCATAGTTTGATACCTTCGTCATTGTATGTGAAATCAAAACCGAGGATTTTTTGGTTTTGCCCATATCTTTTAAGTGAAAATGTTTTGACAACAATGTTTTTACATGTTTAGCGGTCTCAGGATTTGAGTAAGCCATTAAGATGTCATCTACGTAGATCGTAATGACCGTTTAATCTCCTCTTTTAATTGATATCTACACACATCGATCAGCAGATGAAGTTTCGATGCCAATCTTACTAAGTACAGTGTCTAGTCTTTTAAACCACTGACGTCCTGACTGCTTTAATCTATATAGCGCTCTTTCTAGTAAACAGGCTTTATTACCTTTAATACTTTTCAGATCTTTAAGCATTTTTTTAGCTTTATTATATACCTACAGTCAGATCTTCTTTATCTATTTCATCTATCAATCCCCTGATATAAATTCTTCTAGACATTCTGGAACTTTCATTGTAATTCTTTCATTTAGATCACTCTTTAGATATGCTGTAGTAACATCCATTTGACATAAGTGTAAGTCTTCTTCTCATACCATTCCTACAACTGTTCTTATGAAACTCAATTTTACAACAGGTGCAAAAGTTTCATTATAGTCTGCCCAGGTTTTTGATACCCGATGGTAAAACGGGTATAGAGAAAGACCAGGGAGCTTTTAGATTACATGAGTTTATTTACCACTAAAAATATGTACTTTATAAAAATATAAACAGCACCGACAACAGCTTCACGAAGAGAGACATTAATATATATAAACAATAGACGCGCATGTGCAGAACAGATTGTCAATATTTAAATTAAAATTAAAAAGATCTTAAACCAAGGAGGTCTCCCTCAACAGTTTTTGGGTAGAACCTTGAGCTTGTTTTTTTTTTGTTATCTTTGTGTCATAATATTCATCAGTTTCACATTCATTATCATTAATTTGTACATAGTATTGGCGGTCTTCGTTCTCTTTAAGGTCGTACAACCGGATGTATCTAATTTTAACCGTTTCATCTGTATTTATATCTAAATTAGGGTTATTTACATCATCTGTAATATTACGTTGCTGTGCAGTTAAGTCAACATTCATTCTTGTTTCGAATTGTATATTTTATGACTTCTGCTTTCCTTTCTTTTTCTTTATTTTCATTTCCAATAAGTTTTTCATAGGTATCATTTTTGTTTTCGTTACACAATTTATTTATTATCTTCACGTCTCTGCTTAGCAACAATGATAATAAAAATATCAAGAAATCAGAGTCAATACGACGGGATGTAATTTATTTATTTTAAGACGAAGTCGATATATCGATATGTATGTTTTATTTCGATATATCATGTATCCTACCTCACTCACTATTGGTCTGTGGACTCTCTATGATTGTGGTTGTGGTTTGGAAAAAAATAAGTATATTATACACCAATATACTTTTATTCTTTGTTGCATACAATAGAAGGGAGTTGTAGGCGCAGATTACAAATGTATAAAGTTATGAAGTATTAATTGACATCTTTTAACTATAATACGAAGAAATGGCTTCTTCACAAAATATAAAAATAAAAATTGAAGATGTATGTCGCACTTGTTTGTCTAAGGAAAATGAACTGCATTCAGTGTTTGAAGTGTCTGTCGGTGCCGTTTCTCTTCAATGTGTGATCAGTGAAACAACAGGCATACATGTAAGTAAAAATATTAAAGTGCAAAAAACGTCTTTATAAGTACATAATAACTTGTAAATCAAGCTGAGGCGAAATTATTTTATGCTCATCTTTCATTCAAATTAAATACTTGCGATTGATTTTACTATTTTAACAAATTGTTTTTATTGTTTTCCTTAAAAATCAACTTGTTAAAAGAATTTTATAAGCGAGCTCAATAAATGTAAAGTAAAATTTCATATTCTTGTAATAAAATGAGTGACTGTATTATGAACTCTTTTGTGCACTGGATTTACAGAACTGACTACTATTTAATTACGAGTTTTTGCATTTTACAGATTCTTAGACCTATCTGACATATCTCCATAGCTTCTAAAGAAAATAAGAAAGCTTTGAAAATTTATTTTTTTAAGTGAATTTTAGATATTGCCCCATTAAAGCATTATTATTTCTATAACATATTTTTAATGGACTTGCAACTAGCTGTCCTGCGGTATCCCTTTTTGTTATTCTAATTTCGTAATCTTAAGTTATTTTCTTAGGTACCAACTATTTTTAATACAGTGGTTGTGTGATAACCTAGTAGTATATATTTTTTGCCAGATATAAGAAAAAAATTTAGTTAATAACTGTCACATTAGTAAATATTAATTGAGTTGATTACAACTTTTTCTGTGCATACTGATGCAAGGTCGAATGGTTGAGAACATTCAATAGCTCAGCGAATAATATTTCAGTACCGCCCAGCTTACCTTGTAGTTATATATGTAGATATTTTTGCAATTCTTTTCAATTTGACATTTGAAAGATTCATACATTTCAAGCTACAACTATTTACATGTGACAGCGATTGTGACTATAAAAAATTACATAATTTGATTAATTACTACTACAATGGCTGTACCTTTGCAAGGGATTGTGATAGATAGTGAAATAAGAGAATTAGCTCACTGGTTATATACTATGCCTGTGATCTAAATTTTATATGAATTAAAAAGTTGTTGTTAATGTAAATATAAATGAATGGATGATCCTTGTTGCTGTGTTTCTTACAATGTAGATTGATTTTCACAAGTACTTCTGAGACTAGACTGGATACATAATTTAAATAAATTGCATATTAATTAAATATGTAATTTATTTGAATTTAATTAATACCTTATATCATTAAATTATTAATTTTAAAGAACTGTTTTTGTGAACAAGTTCCTATTTTATGACTATTGTGTGTATTGTATTTCATAAAATCTGTTGAATTGTTGTTGTGTATGCTTTTATTTATATATTAAAATTGTATTTTATGTGCAAGAGACCCCATCATATAAACAATCCAAGCAAAGCAGTTTTATTGAAGCTGTAATCGGATATGTGGTGTATTTAATAAGACATCTATTACATATTTGGTCCCTACATAAATACATTTTATACCAGTACTTAATTTGACATACAAATAGTGCTTGTCATAATTATGCTTATGTCACTGCAATAGAATATGAAAATGGGCCTATAAATCTTTCAACATTATTATACATAAAATGTTTTGTACTTTTGTAACAGTTAGCTGCTTTTTTTTGTAGGTGAATAGGTATGATGGATTACCAACAACTATTTGTAATCTATGCAAAGAAAAAGCTTCTAAAGCCTATGAATTCAGAAAACAATCACAAGATGCCAACATAACTATCCAAAACTATTATAACAAAGAAAAACATGAAAATTCTGGCTCTCAGGTAAATATATATACCACCTAAATAATCATTTTTTTATCAAATTAGTCTTGTTAGATTTGTTAATTTAAAAAGAAATTCCTATAAAGATGCAGGGATCATTTTACTGTTTAAAAAATGTTATTTACATTATCATACCTGGTATTGCTAGTAACTTTATTCATAATTTCGGATTATATAAATAAGTGTGCAGTGTTTATTTATAGCAATTACAAGTGTTGAATACTGTATTTGAATTTATGGTAAATATTTGGTTTACTTGGAAGAAAGTGGCAGTATAACCTGTGTGGTAGCCTTACAGACATGTTGATTGTTTATTAGTTAGTCTATTATGTGCATCTTTGATAGTCTAATTATGTGCATTTAAGTACAGCTTTGCTATTCAACAATAAAATCAACCTTGAACTCTACATCTAGTAACAAGTTACAGAGTGTTCTGCTAGATGTATTATTTCGAACAACCTCTGTCTTGACATACCTCTGTTTTGTTTTTATATTTAAAATATAGATGTGAAATGTATTTTTTGGAAACTTCCCATTTCGTTTACAATTTTTTTTTAATTATATTTGGACAACTTTATATAAAGTGTAGGCCCTAAACTTAATACTGTGTAATTTCTTTATTGTGGTATAAATATTGATCTGCTTCAGATATATCTCCTCTATTTCCACGCAGTGTTCACTTGTGGTTCATATAGTAGGGGAGCCCACGATGCTAAATCGGGATTTACTCGAGCGTCATAGAGACCTATTGGGTTGCGAAGCTTAGATGATAACAAAAAAAAATTCATATAATATATACCTTTTCATCGGTGGGGGAAGCGGCTATAGATTTTTAAAAATGTAAAAATGAACTGTTGTATGGACATACTCGAGCGCGTCAGATATTAATATCATCCATGTCCTACGCATTTTAAAAAACTGTCGTATGTTAATCTGATCGTTTCCATGATGGGGGTGGTTATACGTAAGGGTTGAAAATGAAAAAAAAATTATTTAATCGAGCGCGTCAGATTTTTTGTGGGGATGTCAAGTGAACCTAAAAAAAAGCTCGTGACCATTATTAGAATGTGCAAAAAAAATCGCCATTTTGAAATACTCGAGCGCGTCAGATTAAGATATATATGGTTCATCTTTATGCCTCAGACGTGATATCTCATAATCTGACGATTATCCGAAGGGATTTACTTAAACTGACACTAAAAATTTTTTTTTTTTTAATTTTTTCAAATTATTGAGCTTAATTAAATAGAAAAGCACCGGAGTTAGCATGCAAATAAAAAAGTGTATGTTTTTTTTATGTAAAATACTTATATACAACGTGTCCCAAAATTCAACGATAAGCGGGCGCCAAGAGGTAGACCTGCTCATGTGTACTTATGGAAAAATAAGAAAAAAATTATATCTTATTAATCTTTTTTATTATAAAATAAAATTCGAAAATTTTCGAAAATTTACACCTTTTATGATATTTTCAACTACCACGACCGCAACTTCTCAATTATGTTCAATCTTTTTTTGGTATCGGATACCTAAGTAGTACTAATATTCGCTACAACTGTTAAAAACACCAAAATGCCCACAGTATTTACACAAAAAACTATCAAAATGTATTTTTTTCCTTAAATTTTCACAGATTTTTACGTTCCGTAATCTTTGACTCACAGTCATGTAGAAAAAAAGTATGGACACTACTGCGGCAAGTTGTTTTTAAAATTGACGCAGCTCATGAAGATTCCATAATGGTATAATACTTCATGATAACTAGCAACAAACTAAAAATCATACCATTTAAAATCAAGAACCAAAGTTGTGAGTAATAAATTGTACTGTTCCGAAATGTTTTAATATTTAAAAAAAATATTAAAAAAGCAATAGTGAGTTTTAGTCTCATTCATTTATTAATAATTAACATTACAGTTAATGTTCAAATTGTTTTCCAACGGCATTAATACATGCACGACATCGACTTAAAAAAGAGCGTTTTCTTTTTCGTGCATACCTTTTAGCATTGATATGTGACGCAGCCTGACTAATTTTTTGCCGAAGCTCGTCTAATGTCGTAATGGGTTTTTCATAGATTTTGTCTTCGAGACAACCCCAATAGAAAAAGTCCAGGGGGTTTAGGTCGGGTGATCGGGGTGGCCATAAGATAGGACCAAGTCGCCCAATTCAACGCCCGGAATACTCTTGGTTTACAAATGGTGTGCATATTTTTTTACTGTGACTAGTTATCTTAGATTATTATACCATTTTGGAATCTTGATGAGTTCAGTCAATTTTAAAATCAACTTGCCACAGTGGTGTCCATACTTTCTTTTTACAAGACCGTAAGTCAAAGATTACGGATCGTAAAAATCTGTGAAAATTTAAGGAAAAAATACATTTTCATTGTTTTTTGTGTAAAAACTGCGGGCATTTTGGTATTTTTAAGAGTTGTAGCGAATAGTAGTGCTAATTAGGTATCCGATACCAAAAAAAGATTGAACATAATTGAGAAGTTGTGGTAGTGGTAGTTGAAAATATCATAAAAGGTGTAAATTTTCGAAGATTTTCGAATTTAATTTTATAATAAAAAAGATTAATAAGATATAATTTTTTTCTTATTTTTCCATAAATACACATGAGCAGGTCTACCTCTTGGCGCCCGCTTATCGTTGAATTTTGGGACACGTTGTATAAATATAAGTATTTTACATTAAATGATTATATGAAAATTTAATTTTTACAGTATTTTTTATTATTTATCATCTTCATCGCTAGAATCATCTTCCTCTTCTTCTCTTAGTAAATATGTAAAAAGTTTAATTCACAAAATTCACATTAAAATAACAAAATAAGCAAAAACGTTGGAAATACGATGTAAACAATATCACGCCACGAACGAGTCTGTGTCATCAGCTGTCATGGCGTCATGGCAACCGAAACCAGAGTGGGGACGGAGTGAGAGAGTAATAGACAGAAAAAGACTGAGAGAGAAATAGTGATGCGGAGAAGGAAATATAGGTATCACGTAGCTTAAACGCATTAAATCTTATCAATGAATTTTACTTTAATAATTTTACTTCGAATTAAAATTACTTCGGCTTGTGACAATCGTCAGATTATATATTTCTCGTAATCCTTGAATGATTCCCTTCAAATTAAAAAGAAAATCAGCCACGCTCGAGAATGTCAAAGTGGCTTTTTTTTTACAAATTTGTAGCCTTCCCCCTTCTTTACGTCACTCTCAAATTGTCAGATTAGAGGTTTGTACACATTTTAGCATGTAACTAGCTCACCTTACCTTAATCTGACGCGCTCGAGATTTTCAGATGATCAATTTTTTTTTACTAATCTGATCCTTCGTCCTTGCCGGGCGGCCATTTTTATAGGGCTCATACTTGGTCCAGGTACTTAACTGGGTACAAGGTATCCCCCTGTATATTAATCTGCCGCGCTTTAGTAAATCCCGAAATCCCCGCTTGGGCTCCCCTACTAATACTGTGCCTTTTATTTTAGTCATATTATAGTTGTACACAATCATGTAATAAGTTTGTCATGTCTTTTTTTGAAATTGCGGTTGATAAGTATCTGTTTTTCAGTCTAATGCTAATATCAAAACAGAGCATCCTTCAATAGATGATAATGATTATGTAGATTGGATGGAACTAGATGATTATAACGATCTTGGTAAGTGTCACTGAGTGTAAATTCCTATAGACTTATGGATTTTACTAAGTTTTAGTAAACATTTCAGTGGAAATTAATAATATTTAATGTTAATATTATGTGTTTATTATTTTTATTCTTTTAGAGCCAGTCAAGAATGAAGATGTAGAAACTTCATCACATAATCAATGTAAAAATTGTGGTTTGAGTTTTCAAAACAGCACAAAATTACAGGAACATTTGGCAAAAAAATGTTTAAAAGGTAAAATTAAAGAGCTAAATGTTTGATGTGCTGTCGACTGTACATAAGTTAGTAAAGTCTTGAAATTATATTAATCCTACTATTGGATTTCTTTGAGAGCTTCTCAGTTTTTATGACTAAATACATAATTTAAAAAAAGGGATGCTAAGGTTCATTCCGTTTGTTTCTGCATTACATGCCGGCAGTCGTGTAGAAAGGATACGGCTTTTGCTTGTGATAATAATATTTTAATCTAATATTTACTCTGAGATGGGACCTATATCTGAGACAAGTGGATATTTTAAGCATTTTACATTCAGTATAGCACTGTGAATGAAAAATTGATCAAATATAATAATTAAAACAAAGGAGAATGGGCAATTTACTATGAGAGTTCGGCTATTTTTGCATAACCGTGCACATGTTGAAACCAACGGTAAACGATAAATCTATTACGATTAATTCTAGAATGAGTAGGAAAAAAAAACATTTTAAAATTATGCCGGAGTTTGAGAGTATCTTAATATTTAACAGATATTTTGAGGTTATGTCGTTGTAATATCTACGTATGCAAGAGCAATAAAATAAATAGTGTATTTAAAACAATCAATGACTAACGGATATTTAATTGCGAAAAAGTACATACAAGGAAAGATTGCAAGGACAAACTCAAAAACGTCTGGGCCATTTAAAAAATAGTCTTTGTCTAATATAATATCTGAAGAACATTATCAGAGTTAAAATAATTTATTTTGTAAAAGTAGTGGTAGGAAGTTTGCATGTGAAGTCGATTAACAACTTGAAACTTAGTAGGTAGTCGTAGTTATATTGTAGTAGGTAGGTATATTACTCACCGCTAAAGAAAATATAACGAATGTCACTAGCAATCTTAAGATATTTAGGTATTTATGTAATGGAATCTTGTTATATTTATGTATAACACGGCTCAATTGCAATGCTGATTGGTCGCGATTGCGTTCAAGACTATGGGAAGCAAGTATGTAAAATATGTATTTATGTATTTAACGTATTTATGTATTTAACGTATTTACTTGTTTATTGATCATCATTATACAGTAATGGAGCATATTTAAATACTATATTTTATAGCCATAGCATATTTTAATCTTATTCTTATGCCTATACGAATAAACGAAGCCTATTCTTTGGGATTTGTGACGAACGTTAACGTAGCTGATCGTTGGTTCAGTCTGTACGCGTCATATTAATTGCGCCACCCGGCCAATTGCATTAATTTGCCTCCTATCATTTACTATGAAATAGCGTTCATGCTCAAAAGAAAACCGAAGGAAGTTTTATCTTAGATAGTAATTAAACAATCGATGTTTTTCGATACGTAGATTAATCCCTTAGTTTTCTATAATCCATGTGATCGCCTTATCGAGTCTATTGTTGCATGGTTGATATTTATCCAAGGCTAAATAAGTCCGAGATTAGCAATGGTTTTCATACAGTTAATTTTTAATGCCATATAATTTAAAAATAATATTTATATAGAAGAAATTATAATCAAAGAGATGATTTTTGATAAATAAATGCATAGTACGAAATTTGCGTAATTAAGCTGACTTCTGCCCATTCTCCTTTTCATCTTAATCTAAAGTTTAAAATATTTGTAAAAAAAATCTTCCGTCCGTTTGGTGGATCGTATGAAATTGATGAAAATTCGCTCACTAGTAGCGAAAAGTAACAAGTGCTTTAAAAAAAATCGTCACTCCTGTTAGAGGTCCTGGGTAGCTCAGGTTAAAGAAGCCGTCTGGATTGCGAATGGTCGTGGGTTCGTATCCCATCTCAGAGTGCTTAAAATATCCATTCGTCCCAGGTGGACAAGTTGATTTTTTAAGCATTTCATTACTAATATTAATTAATTGCATATGTAATATTTTATGAAATGATTAAAAAGTTGTCTTATAAAACGGCACATAAAAAATAATAGATTTTTAGTCTTGTCCTGGCTATTAAAAATTCTTTCAAAATATAATTTACACAATGTTTTCAAGTATTTTTCTATGTATTTTCAATTTAGTGCTAATAATAAAAAAAATATAGTAAGCATTTGATGCGGTCATACTCCATCAAGTTTTACGTTTACAGTGGAAATAGAGGATGCAGCCACCAATTACTGTCCATTATGTGGTACTAGTTACAATGATGCTGTTAATTTAACAGCTCACATGTGGGAAAGTCATGCTGAAATGATGGGACCAAAGAAAAGAGGGAGACCTAAAAAAGTTTTGACAACAGTAAGGCAACTTGCATTTGTTTCTGTTTATGTAACACGGTGATTAATGTTAATTATTTAATTTCCCCATTAACGGGGCACAGGCCTTTCCTAACAACTGCAGATGCAGCCGACGCCAATGGTGTATGTGCCTTCCGATGCGTGGAAGAGCTCAAGATTATAATTGGTCATCCATCCGAATGGCTCTTGCAAAAAATAGAAAGCGAATGATTATAAATAATATTTCAACTTATCTAAATAATTTGATCGATCGCAATATAAGTTCTATTGATTTTTTTATATTTTTTATTTTGTTTCTATTGTAAATTGGCATACATTATTTATATTTTTCAGACTATATTAACAAAATTATCAGAAAACGGTTTTCGTCTTAAAGCTCTATCAGTTGAAAAAAATGAATGTATAATTTGTGAAGAGCAATATAAAACCAAAGAAGACTTGGGAAAGCATTTTATGGATCATAAAGGTTAGTCAGTTTACATTTTTTTCGTAATAAGAGGTTAGGTTTGAACCACTTTATGTTGGTAGAGTATTTTGAGCATACAAGACCACATAAATGCAGTTAAAATGTTTATTTTTATATTCCTGCCTAGTTTCTTTATTAATAAAGAAAAACAAAAAAACCCGACTGTGTAAAAACGAATTTAAAAAATACTTGAATAAAATAACTTAAATAAAAACTTAAAAGAAAGTAACAAGCCCTTGGGAAGATTTGATTGGTAAAATTTGAATGGGCCCCGATTGTGAACATAGATCGGTACCCGGCTATAGTTCAGTGTTATGATTGGCCACCCCTAATATATGACCGCCTTAGGCCCAGGGTTTCTCTCGCCTTAGGAAAATTCAACAATCCAACGGTCCAACACAAAAATAAGACTGTTTAGTTTTAATCCTGCCTAATGGCGTTTTCAGTTCTATAAATAACGTAACAGAAGTGTTGAGGACAGGCAGCTGGACCAACTTTCTATTTTATATACCCATCGTATCAAGAAGTGAACTTATATAGTATTAGGTACTACATTTAATAAATTTTGCGTTTGAAATGCTATATTGATATTTTTCTAAAAGAAGTAAATTTGTTACATTTGTATAAGACTATGTGTGTTAAATTAATTACTTGTGATTAAGGAATAACATAAAAATATAGTCAAATTTAATTTAGAAATCTTTAGTGTTTAGAGGGTAATAAAGAGTGACGAAATTCTTTGAGTATACATATATGATTTTTTTCGACATAAAAGTTAGTTTTTTTCCAGATACGAAAGTGTTATGTTGTTTATTGTGCAAGAAGATGTATTTAAAAAGAAAGAATTTCAATCTACACGCATGTGGGGATAACGATAAAGGAAATATAAAGAAAGAAGTATGAGTGCATTCTATTTAATCGAGGAGTTACTGTCATTACTTACATATACTAAAAGTAATTGTATTTTGTTTTATTCATAGGGTGTCACAACTGATAATAAACAGAATGTAACTGAAATAGTTTTAGAAGAATTGTTGGAACTTAATGGAATCACGGTCCGTAAGCTTCAGACAAGTTTGTTCGCTTATTAATAATTGATTGTAATAGGTAGAATCATTGATCAAAAACAGTCTGTTCATATAGGCATATCAATACTATTTCTTAAACATTTATATCATTAGTCTACCTATTCCGATCAATGTTTATAATACTCTGTAATATTTATTTCTCGTATAAGAATATAATGGTATAAACAATTTTATTTTCTTCAGGTTTGTGAAGCGTGCACATGCGTGTTCACTTCAGAAGGGGATCTGATGACCCATAATGATGTAGAACATCCAGAACGCTCACTGCGATGTAATCTATGTTTGAAGGTTAATATGCTTTCATGATTAATTTTTTAAAACTAAGTTTTAATAATTCGGATGAGTTCACAGAACAAGAAATACTTTTATGAATGAATTATGCCAAATCAGTCAGTAATTGTATTTTCTCTAGGTGTTCGCTTCAGTGAAATCAGCTGCGCGTCATCGAAGTATTTGTAAAGAGATTGAAAGAAAACATAAATGCAACACGTGCGGTCTCAAATTCGCATATGAAATTTCATTGAACAAGCACATACTTAGGTATCATGAGGGTCAAAGCGTATCTGTTAAATTCATGGACACCAAGACTAAAGACGAAGGGAAACAATACCAGTGTGACATATGTACTAAACAATTTTCTAGGTGTGTATTGATTTCACTGCTACTGACAACTGTACTGCTTTATATTTATTGATTATGTTTGTTTAAGAGAGCAAAAAATAATTATCTCAAGCTCTCCCGTGCATCGGAAGCATGTTAAGCTGTTGGTCTCGGCTGCATCTGCATTCGTTAATACTCTCCAATCAGCATTGGACCAAAGTGGATGGTTATGATTCATATTTCTTAAATATTCATAAGCAAGGCTTGAACTCCTGCAAGAGGGGACGTAGAATGGCTGATAGTGATGACGTTGGAGGTTTGTTTATGGTAAAAATAACATTAAGTATTGAAAGCCCTGTTTACTGTTTCTACAAACTTGTGGTGCGTGGTGGCGGCGTGCCAAAATGGGGTACTGTATCAGATTTTTTTCTATCGGCCAGCGTTATTCAATATCCAGTGCAAAGGTAAAGCAATGGATCACATGGTGTCGGCTAACTAATTCTACATACTGAAATATCAATCGTTAGAAAACTCGCACATTTTTATCACGAGCTCATGTTAGGAGGGATTCCAGTCAGGTCAATTACAAAATTACCTTTCAATACCAATAGATACAAAATCAAAAGCTTTCCATTGCTTTCGTATCAATGCTTGCCATATGTTCTCACTAGTTCGATTCATTAGTTCGATCATCGGACTAGTGAGATTTTTTTTTCCCATTAGTTTGACCGTCGTACTTCTGAGAATGTTTTTTCCCATTAGTTCGACCGTCGTACTAATTTAGATTTAAAAATAGTCCTACTATATTTAAGTGTTTTAATGATTTCGTAATACATAAATTAAAATCGCTTGGTTAAACAAATTAGTGTTGGGCATTTTTTTTAACTTACTACCGCATTTTTTCTAAAAAGTGGCCAACACTAATTTGTCCACATGTTAATTGCATTTGAGCGTCAATAATATGATCGTCATTTAATAAATCAATTTTCCTCCTTTTAGAGCTTTTGTTTGATGGGGAAGGTCGCTGTAGCATATCATTTCGATATAAAGACAATACAGAATCGTCCCGTAAAATATGCAATACTTGCAATAGGTTTACATGGCCTTTTGTTACAAGGTTATTTATTTTATGGTGCCATCCTTCTACGGCATTATTGGTTCGGTGGCGTTCGCCATAAACAGACCAAATTCTATGAAAATCCTCTTTATCCAGTAATTATCAAAATGTTCTTTAAACTTTGTCATGGATTGACAATTCTCCGTCATTTCATTTTGAATATACACCCATCCTGAAACAATATACTTTTCTGGCAGCAATGCTAAGTTGGCGCATAGCGAAATTATTCTTCCGTTCCGTTTGTCTTTACTTAAACCCAGGGTTTTCGCCTTGCGCCACAAGCTTTTTAGAAAAAATGCGGTAGTAAGTTAAAAAAAATGCCCAACACTAATTTGTTTAACCAAGCGATTTTATGTATTACGAAATCATTAAAACACTTAAATATAGTAGGACTATTTTTAAATCTAAATTAGTACGACGGTCGAACTAATGCGAAAAAACATTCTCAGAAGTACGACGGTCAAACTAATGGAAAAAAAAAATCTCACTAGTCCGATGATCGAACTAGTGAGAACATATGATGCTTGCGATATGTCAGTGAAAAACTTTTAGCTTTTTAAGAATTTTATGATGTATCTATGTTTTTAATGTTGCTTAGACTGTTGTATTATATATTTCAGGAAGGAACTCCTCGCCAAACACACTAGAATGCATTCAGAGAAACTTCACGAATGTGATGTATGTAAAAAGAAATTTAATAGAAGCGATAATTTACGGTAAGCAATTTGTTATTTTCAATTAACTTGCAATGGTTTGAATTGGCTGAATTTATTGGATTAGGTTAATGTAAAAGAACAATATGATTAATGAGCCATATTGATACCGATTCAATATCATACTCATACATACTCGCCACATATCTGATGGAAGATTCGTTGCGCGTTTCACGGATGTATGCATTATTACATCACGAATCATCTTCTTTTTATAATGTAATAAAATACACAATAGGAAAAAAACAAAGCTAAATTAGCTTTCTTTTAGTGTGCCTTGAGTTTAAAATGCTCTTAAGCGCTATGATGCACAAGTTTATAAACCAGGGTAAAATAATTTATAACCAAAGAGAAAATAAATTACTACAAATAACCGTGACATATGTGACAAACATGAAAGTGGCAGTGGATGATTATTTGTATCGCAATTTAAGTTTATCTTATTTTCAGTTATACCAACAGTAAATACATTGAAATGCTTAAGGGTTAGACACTGTGGCGATAATGTGCTTGTCGTGTGATATGTGATCCTAAGATATGCTAGTCGATACTCATATCACGTAAGAATCATAATTATTGTCGTAACTTAAAAAACACTTTGAAACTCGAAACAGAATAATATTTAATGTCGAGAACTTTATTAGGTTGGTCATTATGGTATTGCGCTGTAGGTACACATTTGTAGTCGCAGGCTCAGTAGTACTTTTGACGTCATTCAGGATTTGTAAGATGTCCACACTGTTACCCAGCAATTAGTGTAATAGTGTCCATACATAAACAATATTTTAGTACATAAAAGTAAAAATTCCAATTTTCGTTTTATGATTATAAATGTATTTTCTAATTAGGTTTTTTTTATAAGAATATGCGTTATTCATGTTACACGTTGTAGTTGTTAGTTCTGGCTTTCGACTACCTGTGATACATGACAGTCTCCTGACAGATATATGCTGACCCTTAGGGCTTAACTAAAGTATGTCTATCTCTTGTTTTGTGTAAGTTGACTAGAAAAAAAAATCCAACTCGTTTATCAAATTGTAATACAACGCTCCATAACCTCCGGTATTATAACTATGACCGCCAGCAACGATCGATTTTTTTTACTTTTTCTGCAAGTCAAATAACAACGTTGTAATGTGAATACAAAATGATTTGTGATGATGTTTTCAGTTCACATAAGCGCACACACGACCCTCGTGACAAAGCCAAAGTGAACACTTGCCTTTGCCTGTACTGTGGTCGTAGTTTCAATAATTCCTCCAATCTCATCGTGCACATGCGTAGGCACACCGGTGAGAAACCCTATAAGTGTGACTTCTGTGGGAAAGGTAATATTTTCATTACAATATTGTTCATATAGATTTGTTTATGTTAATGTAGACGTTACTTTTTAACATAATATTTTGGAATTTTAATGGTCTCAATTGACTTAACGAAACATAAATTTTCATAATTTTTTTTAATCAACATCACATACAATTGGTCAGATTCAAAAGATGAGTAGTTACAGCCGTATTATGGAGTGTCTGAGACAACGAAGGTACCAATACGGTATAGACACGTTCATTTTAGACCCGACCGGTATCGAACTCGGGACCTCAGAGACAGCAACACTTTGAAACCGGCATGCGAACCACTCGCCTACGGAACTACGTTGAAGCGTGGTTGGCCTAGTTTAACCCGCTGCGGCTCACTGGTGGGAGAGAGGAAAGGATTCAGGATCCGGCAAAGAGCCCACCCGATAGGAAGACCTACAGCTATCAAACAAACATGATAATTAAATTAAGAAGCAAATAGCTAATTACAGATCTTCACAATATAGACAGAATTACAGTTTGTGAAGCATTACTTATCTTTAAAACTAGCTATTTCCCACCACTTCGCCCGCATAAATTTTAATAGGCTATGTCAGCCGCATATAATGTAGTTTCTAGTAGATGAAAGAATGTAAAATTTTATAAATCTTTTGGTTGTCGACCGACACCTTTTTCTTGACCTTCAAAGACAATGGCAATTGACGATTATGGATTATGGATTACCAAAAATCGAGGAAATAACGTATGACTCGGTTAAAAAATCGGCCGCTAGTCGCCGAATATAGACTGGTCTTGATTATATTAAAATTATTGCTAAAGTTGTTAATTTTTTTATAAGTATCCCACATAAACTCGTATTTCTTGTAGTTCTAGTACTAGAGGCAATTATAGGAGTCAATTATTTCTCAAAGACTTAGAATAAACTCTCAACGAAAGTTGCCTTAATAGTTCGTGACAGTTTATTGAGCTGGAGGCAATTTTCAGTAAATACATCATATAGTTAATGTTGCGACAGCGTATAGCAGAGTAAAGGTAGATGATGGTTTTCTACATAGTTCGTGGCTCAGACCAAATTGAAAGGAAAGACAGAATTTGCTGAATAACAAAGTGAAGCCGGATTTTAACGATTGTAATGTGCATGCCGGTGTGACCAAAGTCTTTAAAAACACCCCAATAACTTAACGTTTCGACGTTAATGCTATATTATAATATATCGTAAATCCCTTACGTCAATATCTCCATATTGAAATGGAAAAAGTATATCAAGAATAAAACTACCGAGCTATTATATATTAGCTATGTGTGTATTCTAATTCCATATAATTTTTGGAAATAAAAGTCAGCCAGAGCGGCATTTTTCTTCTATTTTGTTTCATTCTCAAGAAGTTATTGTACAATGGGATATCTATTGTCCAATAGGTTAAAATGGATCATATTCGTCTACATACCTCGATCTTCCTCTTTTAAATTCAGCAACACAGTGAACGATGATGAATGGAATAAGGTAAAACATTACCGTGTTATGTCTGATGGATATTAAAAAATATTTCTTTAGTGGAATTTTTTTTTTCAAGTACTGGTGCTTTATCTCTGCACGTAACCAGGATTTCTCTATTTTTAAGGATTTATATAAACTTCTCTACTGAATCATTTATTACTTGCGTACATTACTTTATTTTTTTATTTTTTATTTATTTAAAAGAAACACCAACAGTGCACATACTAAACTAAGTCTTAAATTGAACATAATTATAAAGATTCTGGTATGCACACCAATTATAGGTGTTTACAACGCTTACAAAATATTTATGACTAACGTCTGATTCTTATAGATTAAAATTAGTTAAATAAATTAAATTACAAAAACAGAGAAAACACGGAAACAAGGGAACTTTATAAACCCATTAAAAGAAAACAAGGAAATATAGGTCTAAGAGGTCTTAAGTGTTTCCGATACAGTCTTTACAAAATGTTTATGTGTATTATTAAAAATATCCAGATGTTCCGATTGTGCACACAGTCTATTGTAGCTACGACATATTCTTAGCAGAGGTGAGTTGAAGCCTAAATTGGTTCTGGCGAGAGGTACGTTAAAAACGTTTTTGATTCTGTGACGAGGGTAATTGTGTGGTACGTTGAGGGATACTTGCTCCAAAATTTGAGGGCAGTCTATGGAGTTACGAACAACTTTAAATAGAAACGAGACATCGCGAATAGTTCTACGCTGTTGCAAGTTCTGCATCCCGAAATACTCCAAACGATCTTTGTAAGGTGTTCTGTGGGAAATTCCAGAGTACGTATATGCAAGCGACCTTGTGAACGCGCGCTGGATGCTCTCAATTCGCTGAGAGGGCTGAGCGTAAAAGGGATTCCAAGCTACGCTCGAGAACTCCAAACAGCTTCGCACGTATGAGTTGTAAAGCACAATTCTCGATAGGTACGACCGAAAACTTTTTGTATTACGTCTGATGAAACCCAGTTGTTTTGCTGCTTTATTCACAATGGAGTCAACGTGTGGTTTAAAAGTTAGTTGGCTATCAATCAGAACACCTAAATCGCGTATTTCATTGACTTCCTGTAAAGTAATCCCATTCAAAGAGTATGTTGAGTTTATGGGTGTTTTTTTACGTGTATATTTAATGTAGAAACATTTCTTGACATTAAGATGCATTTGATTTAGGTCACACCATTCATTTATTCTATTAACATCAGCTTGCAGTAATTTGGAATCATTTATGTTGTCAATTTGTCGGTAAATCTTTAAATCGTCGGCGAATAGCTTATACTTGCAATTTTGAATGTATTTAGTTAAATCATTAATAAAAACTGAAAATAAGATAGGTCCAAGATGCGACCCCTGAGGAACCCCCGACTCAGTATAATAAGTATCAGATTCAAACCCGTTTACAGTTACAACTTGTTTCCGTTTATATAGATACGAGCGGAACCATTCAAGGAGTGGCCCATGGATTGCCATGTATTCGAGTTTCACAAGCAGCAGCTTATGGTTTACCAAATCAAAAGCGCTGCTAAAATCAGTATAAACAGCGTCTACTTGTAATCCCTTGTCAACGACCCTGGCTAAGTCAGTTATAAGACTTACCAGATTAGTTTCGACAGCACGTCTTTTCGCAAAGCCATGCTGGTGTTGAGAGAGAAGGGGGTTAAGATGATTTGAAACAATGGGACAGACGAGTGCCTCAAAAAGTTTAGCAAAACACGATAAGATTGATATAGGCCGGTAGTTAATTATTTCGTTTAAATTGCCCTTTTTGTGTATTGGTATTATTTTTGCTGCTTTCCACTCATCTGGAAACACCCCCAATGACAAGGACTTATTAATGATAATTGATAATGGCAGAGCAAGAGCAGATCCACAGCGTTTAACTAGTATTGGAGGGATGCCGTCAGGCCCAGGTCCCTTGTATATGTCTAGCTTCTTTATTTGTTTTAGCACTTCCCTCTCAGTGAAAAATATGCTGCTTACACCAGTAGCAGTACCAACGTACCCATCAGATACGATATTAATAAGCCTTGTGTTAGATTGTGAAACTGGAGAAGGGGGTAAACTGACTATTTTTGAGAAATTTTCGGCAAACAGATTGGCTATCTCACAACCTGAACGCCCTATTTTATCCTCCATACGCAGTTCAGCGGGGAATTCTGATCGAGTCTTTCGCTTGTCCTTTACATAACGCCAAAACCCTCTAGGGTCATTCAATAGACTACTCTCCGTTTTGTACATATAATTCGAGTACAGAGAATCCAGCATTTTGTGGCTTCGTTCTCTAAGGATTTTGAATTCTAATAGGTCTCTAGGGTTGTTATATACACGATATCGTTTTTTAATTTTTTCTTTAGCGGCTAATAACTTCAACAATGGTGTATTGAACCAGGCGGGGTATGCTTTCCTGTTAAACTTGTGTTTAGGTACAAATTTTTCAATCAAGCTAGTAATTTTTGAATTCAAGACTGAAATCATTTCATTTAAAGAGAGGTCTGCGGCAAATGTATAATTCCATTCAATCTGCTTGAGTTCATTTGAAATGCTAATAAAATCGGCTTTAAAAAAGTTATGTTCTATTCGTGTATTGGGGCGTAGATAGTTTGCTTCGCTCTCTGTTAAAGTTATTATAATGGGTGGGTGTTTAGGGTCAACCTTACTTAATTGACATAATGGTTCCGATATGCTTACATCTGACACAGTGCTTATAACAAGATCAAGTATTCGATCATCCTCATTAGTTATGTGATTAAATTGTAACATATTGTTCACCGACAAAAAGTCGACCATGGCATTACCCAATAAATTGTTACAGTTGCTAACGTGCATGCGATTGTTACTTCTAGTCCACAAGAGAGAAGGCAAGTTGAAGTCACCCAAAAGCACAACCTCATCAACCAGTTGGGTAATATTATTGGCATTTTCTAAAAATATATTAAGGGTGTTAAGAGAGACTGGTGGTGGGATATATACTGTGCCGACTGCCACTCTTTTGATATTCTTACCTACTCGTAGTTCAACAACCACCCAAATATCCTCGCAGCTTGCGGATTCCCAGGCTTGCTGGCGAATTGATCTACAAGTGCATGAAACTGCTATCAACACTCCACCTCCGTCTCTCTTTGAAGAGTTCAGGTAATTACGATCGCGTCTATGGATGACATAACGAGAATCAAATAGCTCTCCATCCAAGACACCTGAATTCAACCACGTTTCAGTGAAAGCTATAACATCGTATGAACAAAGTGACACATTATTAAGGATTCCAACAGTTTTAGTTCGCATACCACGAACATTTTGATAATAAAAATTAGCCATTGCAACTAATATAAACCTAAAAAATATTACACAAAAAGATGCTTAAAACTACTTCATAAAATTTAAACTGTCCATATTACGAATTTGGAGAGCTTGGCAGTGTTCATCCTTTCTGACGTAGATGCGCCCATCTCTGACCCAGACGAATCTGTATCCGAGCTCCTTCCCTTTCATTCTAGCAGCGGCGTGG